AGATTTAAAATAATTTACAAATACTGAAGCATGTTACCGGGACAGAAATTGCTACTTTAACATAACCCATACAAATCTTAATAAAGTTGTTACATTAGTAAAAATATGTTAAAACTATTTTATTATCATCTTATTAGCAATAAAAAAAATACAAATTATTAGTATGGTAGTGTTTTATTTCCTGTTTTACACTTCCTCAGATAGTAAACCGCTTATTAACAAGTTTAGCAAATTTGTTAGGTGACAAGCAAGCAATGAAGGAAAAATAAAAAATATTGTTGCAAGTGAGGGACTTAAAACTATTTTATGCCTTTCATTACTCAAAAAAGCATATCAATTATGCTTCCATAGCAAAGTTAGGATTTTTAAATCCTAAGTGAGATATTTGCTAAAGTTATATTTTTATACTTAAAACGTTACTTTGGTTTAGTTTGAATTATTATCAAATTATGTTTTATATTTTATTGATTTGATGACTCCATTGGATTTAAATGAGTTTGACTGAAAATAATTTTAGAATTATTACTTTACTTATTTGATAAATAAATGATATTTTACGTAATTTTATGATTTCTTGACCCCTCGTATTCACATAAGTTTATTTTTATAGTGTTATAAATACATTTGAATCTAACTTTAATTAAATATGCTTCACGTTTTTATATCAATGGCAACATTGAAAACTTGAACTCAACCACAGATATTTAAACAATAACTACCTATAACGCCCCCAACCCAGAGGGGTAGGAAAAACTTAATCTTAATGCATGGATTCAGCATGCCTGCGTACCCTTGAATTGAATACTGTCTAAATGAACAATGGATTTTGGATTATGACATTAAACATTTTCTTGTCTTGCGGTTTACGGTCGCATTTGTAAAAGTATTGTGGAACTTACACATCGAAAAATATATGTAAGAATGTCCAGGAAACATATTACCATAAAATACATTATCAACTCGAAAAATATTTGAAAACCGAAACACTGACGTAAAGAATTTAAAACATTCCTTTCGGCCAACACTAAAATAACAAATGTCAAGTTAATAATTGACTTATTTTGACACTGACACATCACTGAATAATTCCATTGTACGCAGTCGTGATTTCACAATTTATTTGCAAAATGATTCTTTCGTATTATATTGATTTTACGTCCTCCTGGTTTAATATGTTTTATTTAAAACAATTTAATTGTAATGTAATGGATTTCAAATTGTTGTGATTTTAGTGAAAACTCATTTCAATCATTTGACGTTTCGTTAGAAATGCGTAAAACAAAACTTAACCTTATAATTGACGGGGTCACCATCTGATTAAAACAGCAAAAAGTTGATAGACATTGATAGAATTAAGATCTTATTTCTTATTCCTGTGTCGAACGCTTGATGAATATTACCATAATTTCGTTCGGTACCGTTATACGTGAATTGGTTGTGCTACTGTCCTGACGTCAGTTTTAAAATAGTAAAAATGTTCCTTAAAAATTGTCTCCGAACTTTCTCTAACCATCAAATTAGATTATTATTAAACAAAAATAGCATAATATCAAATTGTATTAATAATAAAAATTCTGCGTCATTATCAACAACGAAACTTGCATTGGAAAATGAGAAGTAAGTAATTATTGTTATTTTTTGGCCGAACTGGTTTTGGTAATCACTTAAATCTATGTAAGGTTAAAGTTTACTTATGTTTGACATTACAAGTTTTCTACTTGCTCTTTTATACATTTCACAATACATTATTCATTACTAAAATACCTTTTTCTTGCTTTCGCGCGAAATAAAAAAAAAGATTTTACGTTCTTGCAGACATTCTGCATCTATGCCAAGTTACAGTGAGATCCGTTTAGCAGTAAAGCTACAAACTCTAACAAACATGTATCTAAACTTTATCATTTTATTCTGTCATTGTACATGTCACCACATCACCAGCTCACTATACACCCCTCCAAGGTGCTTGGAGCCTACCCTAAGTTTACTGCAACTAATTTTCATAAATGTTTCTTATTGTGTGTAACTTGCTTACTTACTGCGTTGGCGTAGCAACCCAAAGTGGGTCTTGGCCTCTGAAACGAGAAAGCGCCAGCATCGTCTGTCTTGCGTTGTTTTTACAATTTTGTGTAACAATGTATAGTTTTTTTGGCAATTATAAGGTTTTTTATTTATTTATTTTTATTTTAAATATATAAATAAATAAGAGAAATGTTTAAAATTATCAAGTAATTTGTATTTTAGCATATTCGGTTAGGATATACAATCTTTCAACAACCTTGTTGAGTGGGTTTAAGTGGTTGTTTGTGACATCATTCCTGCAATTTTAAAATCTATTACCATGTTATAATCTATCAATCTATTAAATATATTTTTATTTATGTTTAACTAGTTTCATCATCATCACCATCACCAGCTCACTATATGTCCGCACCGAGGGGCTCGGAGCCTACCCTAAAGTTAGAGTGACTAGGTCATAGTCAACCACGCTGGCCAAGTGCGGGTTGGTTGACTTCACACATATCTTTGAATTTCTTCGCCAATATGTGCAGGTTTCACGATGTTTTCTTTCACCGTAAAAACGTCGAGTATATTGTGTACATTCGTAAATTCGAAAATCGCATTAGTATGGCGGGATTCGAACCTAAGACCTGTAGAATACAAAAGTGCTTAAACCATTGAGACACCAACACTATCATGAACTAGCTGATGGCAATCTTGCTTCCTTGATGTTGGCAGCAACTTATAGTCTCTTTCCCACATTAGGGATTTTATCCAAAATATTTACCCCCTATGTTTAATAGCATGAAAATATATAGCCTAAAGCATGACGTAAGTGTAGGGCTTTTTATTAATAAAATAATTATTCAAAAATATGCTGTAATTGCTGACACCTTAGGTAACAAGAAGTGTGTGTTTACGCTTCATTATAATAGTATAGATATGTTTTCAATATTGATAAGAATTGTTATCATTTGAAACAACAATAAACATGCATATAATTACTAAAGGCATTACAGAAACGGTAAGAAAGTAATTTAAAAAATTTATTCAAACTAGCTATTGCTTGCTACTTCGGCCACGTGAAATTAACAAAAGTATAGCCTATGTTACTCACAGATAAATTACCTTTCTAACGGTGAAAGAAATATTAAAATCGGCCCAGTAGTTTTTGAGTTATTTCAATACATACAAAAACACAAAAATACAAATCTTTCCTCTTTATAATATTAGTATATCAGTAAAGATAAAAACTTTCTATTCCAGACTTTATTTGGGTCTAAATTTAAAAACATATGCAGTCAAATTGTTTCTCGATATTAATATCATTAGGTGGCTAACGATACCGCCATCCGAATTCGTCGAAAAGGCGAAGTATCTACCCATAGACATCCATTGTAGATGAGTTGCCTTTCTTTATCAACAGATACAAAATAAATAAAATAAATAATAAACCTCTTTATTACCATTCAAAAGTATACACAGAGTTGTAAAAAATAAAAAAAAAACATACTTTAACAGTGGTAGAGCCCGCTTTAACATCGCACGAATGGGTCGGCACGCCCGGTGTAATACCACGACCACACAGAAAACAGTCGTGAAATGGAAGCAATTCCGTGTTTCGTCTGATGAGTGTAGTGCCGGAGGCTTAATTTTAGTCCCTTCTCCTTTCCAACCTTTTATTAAGAGAGGATGGAAAGGAAAAGTGGATTTGACGGTAAAGGAGAGGCATAGGAAGGGGAAATGTCCTCCTTATGTGCGTCTCCTCCTTGGTATTACACCGAATGGGTATTCGTGTGATGTTAAAGCGGGCTCTACCACTGAGACCCAGACTACTTCACGCGTCTTCTGTATGGTCGTTGTATTGCGTAAGAACCTACAGTGTGAAGATATTAAAACTGGCTCTACCACAATTTATTTGTACACGTGATATAGTGAAGAAATTGGTGTTAATTAAAACAAAAAAAATATTTATCTTGCCCTCAAATGTATATTTTTTATTCTATGACCGGAATACATATTTAAATTCAGGTAAATAAAATGCAGAAAAGACTTTTTTGTTATTTTATAACGACTATCGTGATAGTACAAAAAGGGCCAGCCACTCTGTTTGAAAATTCAATTTGGTATTCAAATTTTTTTTTCATACGATGTTTTTTTCATTGCTTGATTGACCTTTATATTTATGTATATACTAGCTGTTCCCGTGCGACTTCATCCGCATAAAATTATGAAAATTTTATCTTATTGTTTACATGTGTCAAATTATCATTGCAAATGTCAAAATGTCATTACATGATGACAAACCATGGCAACCTTGGTTTCTTGATGTTGGCAGCAACTTATGGTCTCTTTCCCACATTAGGGTTTGTATCCAAAATATTTACCCCTAAGTTTAATGGCGTGAAAATATATAGCCTAAAGCGTGACGTAAGTGTAAGGCTTTTTATTTAAAAAAAGAACTATTCAAAAATATGCTATAATTGCTGACATCTTAGGCAACAAAGAAGTGTGTGTTTACGCTTTATTATAATAGTATAGTATAGTTATAAATTTTTTCATCTTCCCTACCTTATCCGTACTTCCGTAGGGTGGGCACAGAGGTTTCGTTCTTCAAATAACTCTATCATCCGTCATCTTAGTCACTCCTTGATGTCCTTTCACGCAATCCATCTCTTTCTATGTCTACCTCTACCAATGTACATACTCATAACTAACATCCTTCTTGTTACATGAGATTTATCACATTAATATTATAAATGCGAAAGTTTAGATGGATAGTTATAGTTTGTAGCCTGAACGGCTGAAAGGATCTTGATTAAATTTGGTTTGTAGAGGTTAGTCTGGAAGAACACATAGGTTGCATTTATTTAATTCCAAACTGATGGACCCGCGGGTTATAGTATGTATATTTTTTTACACATAACTTCGTGAATATAAAAATGTTATTTGAATCCGCCATAATGGCGAAGCGAGCAAACTATAGACAACCAAAATTGCAGATGCGTTACCTTTACGATGGCGACGCACATTAAAAATATTTCCCCTTCCTTCGTATCTCCATCATCAAATCTACTTTCCCTACCCACCCTTTCCTTATAAGGGTGGAAATAGACTAAAATAAGACACGCACTTATCTATGGTACATCTATACGTATTATAAAATTAAAGTGTCTGTAATATCAAAAGAAAAATTACAGATTTCGGGAAGATTATGTATATGCGTTGCTGATAACGAAAATCGCATTTAAATTTGTTTTTGTCTGTCTGTCCGCAAGCCGCGTTTGTTCCGGACAATCTCCGATAGCTGGGCCGATTTGACCGGACTTTCACTGGAGTAGCTGACATAGACGAGCATTATAGCTACATCTTTATTTTTATATGGCGTGGATGAAGTCGCGGGCAATAGCTAGTTAGATTAAATAATTGCTTCCACTTCGCCTGTCTTCTGTGTGGTCGTGTGAAGATATAGCGGGCTCTACCATTATTTTTCTTTCCAGAGTCAAAGTTGCCTTCGTTCTGAACGACGGTAGACGATTAGAGACGGAAGCTAAAGTCGGCGATACACTGTTAGACGTGGTTGTGAATAATGAACTGAATATAGAAGGATTCGGCGCTTGTGAGGGCACGGTGACTTGTTCCACGTGTCACGTAATACTTAAAGCTGAGGACTTTAATAAGTAAGTAATCCAATGTATCTTTTTTTTTATAATATAAGGTGGCAAACGAGCAAGCGGCCACTAGAATCCGCCAAAATGGCGAAGCGACCGCTGCCCATAGACATCCGTAATTGAACATACGTTGCCTACCCTTATACGACGGAGGAGGAGACTCACATAAAGAGGATATTTCCCCTTCCTATGCATCTCCTCCATCGACAAATCCCACTTCCCCTACCCAACATCTCCTTATGAGAAAAAGGTGGTAAAGAGAAAGAGACTTAAATTAGTCCTCCGTCACCACACTCATCAGACGAAACACGGAATTACTTCCACTTCACGCCTGTCTTGTGGTCGTGGTATTACTGGGGGAGTGCCGGCCTGTAGTGCTAAGATGTTAAAGCGGGCACTACCACTGTTAAATTTATTTTATTGGCTTATTGGCCTTATCATATTAAATATTCACGTGTTATTCAATTTGTGTTTTAGTAGATTTGTAAAGGGATGCGACTCACAAGTTGGGGAAATATTTTTTGAACGTCCCTTCTTCTGTTGGTTAAGGGTGGGCAACCATCTGGTTTGTAGATTTCTGTCTACGTGCCCGTTTGCTCATTTACTTTATCTTACTAGCCTTATAAACAAACTTTAGACCGAGGCTTCGTCGGCGTATATTAAAAAAAAGTAGCCTATGTGTTCTTCCATACATCTATGTCAAATTTTATCGAGATCTGTTCAGCAGTTTAGGCTACAAACTCTAAGAAACATCCATCTAAACTTTTGAATTTATAATATTAGTAATATGCCAATGTTTAGTGGAAATTAAGCGTAGATGTAGAAGATAATGTGAAATATAGGTTATTTTTTTAAATTTCACGCGGACGCAGTCGTGGGCGAAAGCTAATACTGTCATATGTCTCGTTCCAAAGCAATTTGATAATATTTGTCGTCAGAACTTGTTATTCCAGTTGTAACAAATATATATAAGCTTTGTTATTAGTAAAATGTATTTCCAGACTTCCAGAAGAAGCGAGTGATGAAGAAAGGGACATGTTAGACCTAGCTTTTGGTTTAACGGAGACGTCACGTCTAGGTTGTCAAATTACTTTGTCGAAAGAATTAGACGGCCTTGAAGTGAGAGTACCGGAAACAATAAATGACGCACGCGGGTGACGCCATTTTGTATCGGGATAGATAATAAATTGTAGAGAAAATCGTTATTTATATTTATATTTGGCTCAAAGATGGATTTGTAGCACAATTTACGAGTTAACGTGATTATAGTTGAGGTTTTTTAACATATATGAGCATAATTATTATAAATATATGTTATTTAAATGTAAGTTTTAATGCAGCATATGGGAAATAAATTATTTTTAAATAAATGATTGTTTTTTTTATTAAAGTATTTTACTAATACGAAAATACGGGTGCATATTCAACAAAAATGTCTAAAATATATAAAGAGATATTTTTTAAAAAAAATCCGGAAAATTGTTGCGAAAAAAAAGTCCAAGGAACATTTTTTAAAAAATTACCTCGACCGTAGACTTATTTGTATAATGCAATATGACTAACAATTGTGTTTGTTTCCGAACAAATGTTAATTTTTAGATAATGGGTTTTCTTAATAAGATAAAATTTTAGATAAATATACATTATCAAAATATGGCTTTTTTATTTCCTGAGTTTTATCAATTTTTTTTGTTGAATTATGATTCATAAAATAAAATAATGCTTAGTAACCATTATAGAACAAATTCCTTTACATTTCTCTCCATGTTTATGTAAATACTAGCTGTTGCCCGCGAATCCGTCCGGGTGGAATTAAAAAAAAAAAACAAAAGTGAGCCTATGTGTTCTTCCAGACTATCCTCTAAATCTGTACCAAATTTCATCGAGATCCGTTCAGCTGTTTAGGCTACAAACTCTAACAAACATCCATCTAAACTTTCGCATTTATAATATTAATATGAAGTATGATTTTTAATGCTGACACATTTGACTAAAAAAGCTATAAAAAAAATAATCCAGTGTATAATCTTTTCTGCTTTCCACCATTTTGATTTTTGGTAACAAACGCGTTTCAAAACGAAAGTAAAAAAAGTAAACAAATTGAAACTGAATTTACATTGATAAAACTCAAATCAATTGAGTAATTAATTTCTGGTTTCGATTGAGCGTTCAGTAATTATGTCTGTGATGGCAAAAGCAATTTAAAAGTTATCAATTTTGATTCATACCATTAACAATTGGAATGACAAAATGGCTAATGTTTTGGCGGGAATTTTACTAGTTTATGCCAGTACGTATTTTTAGTTGACATTTATTTTTTAAGATGTACGGAATATTATAGTGTGTCTAAATAAGGTAGATTAGTTTGATAAATGACGCATATGAAGCACCGAATTCAATTTGTATGAAGGCAAATGCTGTAATTAGACAGGTATCGTAGTGACGAAACAAACACACAGCGAACAATTTTGAACTATCGATTTTCGGTTTAAATAATTATCAAACTCAACTAAAATTATTATTTTCTTATTCACTAATTTAGAGGACAATTCTAGTATTGATTATAGTGTAGAGAATTTAGCGATGACAGAAATAATAGCGAAATCCAATTCGATTACGTACGGCTGTAGTAGTAATAAACGTTGATTTACTCTCATTATTTGTTATAGTCATTTTTCATTTGAGAAAACAGTTTTTTTTTTTAAATTCATAAGTTATAACTATAAATCTATCGATTCAAACTTCTATGAGAATAATAATCGAAAATCGATAAAATTCATGACTGATTTTACACAATCCATCCCTACTAAATTTGAAATGAATTGTCAAACTGATCTAAATTATTTAGACAGACACACTATAAAGGTCAAATTCATCACGAAACCAAAAGAAACTAAAGAAAGATTGAAAAAGTACTATAATTATTTAAATTGTCGTTTTTTTAGTTATTGAAACATAGTATTATTTGTAATTCAGCTTTTTATTCATAAATTTCAATTAAATTAGTTACAGTTTCCACTGAATCCAGCCGTTTGCCAGCAGTGTACAAAAGATTGAGGTTATCCAGATATCCAAACAGAGTGAATTATCTACACACACCACTGAGATTACATGAAAATAACCAATATTTCTCATATTACGAAAACTATCCGATGAGAAAAACGATTCTGTCAAGTGACGTTAATATGGCGCCAAAATATGACATTAAAGAATCGTTCGAAATCCTATTCGATAAAAATGGAATGTTATTTTTGACTTTACCAAAAAATGATGAAGAGAGAGTTTTAAATAATTTAATGAACGATGTAATAAAATACAAAGCTAATGTAAACGAAAAAGCTTTGAGAACAAAGATAGTTAAATCGAAAGATTCCAATTTTGTTATACGCACGAAAAATAAATTGTTAAATGTGAACGACGATGTGCCGCCTGTAAATGCTTTTAATTTTCATGATATTGTTGGTTAAATAAAAAAAATCTCTTAAATACAGATATTTATCATCCACTTGCCCTTATTCCTTACGGAGGGTGGGCACAGTATGTGCTCCATACATCTCTATCAGTCACATCTGAATCCACTCCTTTCTTAAGCATATCCTCGTTCACACAATCAATCCATACTTTCTCTTGTCTTCCTCTACCTTTGTAGCCATCCACATTCAATCTTAACACTATGGTTTATGTCATCGTTTCGTCGCATAACATGTCCATACCACACTAACCTTTTGCTTCTCAATATCTCCTTTACTGGCGCTACTTTCAAACTTCCTCTAATGTACACATTCTTAATTTTATCCATTCCATTAAATGCAGATATTAGATAAGGTAAAGATAATAAAATAAAAATGTAAAACAATGTACTGTGTAAATGTGTTGAAATAATTTTTTTAAATTTGGGTGAATCGGCACTTATTGAGTAAGCGTGCTGTATCCTTCGGCCACGTCTTCACTTAGCCTAGGTAGAGTCGTGGCCAAGCGCTGGTTTATTTATGTTGAAAAAAAAAAGATTTCCTACTTTTACTATTTGAGCCATCATACTAATATTATAAATGCGAAAATTTAGATGCATGTTAAAGTTTGTAGCCTAAACTGCTGAACGGATCACGATGTTTGGCAGAAACGTAGAGGATAGTCTGAAACAACACATGCTATTCACTTTTTTTTTAATTCCACGCGGACGGAGTCGCGGGAGACGCTAGTAACTTATATACTTAAAAAAAACATCCCATGTAAATTGATTTTACTACAATTACTGTTTTTTTTTAAACTTTTTAGATGGAAAAAGTAATACGTACTAGTCTTAAAACAGATAAAAATTATTCTGGCATTATAAAAAAAAACAGCCATCTTTTTTCTAGATTGCTCAAAATTGTTGAAACAATCTAAAAGTACTTACTAATAATATAAATGCGAAAGTTTAGATGGATGTTTGTTAGTAGGCTAAACTGATCGGATCTCAATGAAAATCAAAGATCCTCTACATCTTTGATTTTATTGTCGAAAACACAGGCTACTTACTTTTGTTTTTTCAACTCCACGCGGACAGAGTCGCGGGCGAAAGCTTGTATATTAAAATAAAACAATAGATAGTTTTCTTAAAAGATTTATTTATAAATTATATTGAAATAAAAAATTATTGTGGCAACACCTCTCCCATATACCTATATTGTTTTAAATAGATATTTTTAAATATTTTACCAACGTGATAAAAAAA